GAGAATCAAGAACAAAATTCATCAAAGAGTTTGTTTTTCCTTTTCAATATGATTTATTTCTTGGATTCTACTCTTGTTTTTTTTATTATGAACTAATTTTCTCAAGCTAAGACTAGGGTTAGTCTATTTATGGATCTGTGATCAATCTTTTACTCTTTGGTTAGTGAATTATTTTTCTAATGATGAATTTATATTATGTGCTTAATGCTATTAGGAACTTGATCAATTTCTGATAGAATTGTTTTGTGTGATTGAGACCGAGAGGAGATATCACATGAGTGCTCTAGTAATATAGGCCATGGATTAATTGGATATAGAGATATATGAATTGATACATGCAATAGTCATAGGCAGGATTCACTTGTGATGAAAACTAGAGGATTTCATAAGGCTTAATGCTCGTCTATTTCATTAAATCTATATAGAGATATCTAGGTTATGAAATAGAAGTAGAATTAATATTGCTTGAGAAAGAATATTGGTTAACCTAGGAAATCCTGTTGTCACATTAATTAAATAAATTCATTGACCATAGTAAATTGAGGGGAGCAGAGAAGTTATAGATGAGCCTGAAGTCTTAGCCGTTTTCTCTCATTGAATTCTGAATTTTAGTTTTACTACAATTCGTTTCTAATATTCCAGAGTTTAATATTTTTAGTTTTAAAGATCACCATTCTAAGTTTTGATTATCTAGATAAAGTTAAGACTAATTAATATTTCAGTACTTGTTTACGCAATCCCTTGGGTACGATAACCTGTATTTTGTTATACTATATTACTTGAGACTAGTACACTTGCTACTAGTTGTTGCAAACGACACAACAAGTTTTTGGCGCCGTTGCCAGGGATTGCAGTTAGGCAATATTGAAATCATTAGTTTAGCTTTACTTTAGATCTTGTTCTATTTTTTTTTTATATATATAATTTTTTTTCAAGTTCTCTTGTTTTCAGATTTTCCAGTGTATGACACACACTAGACGAAGATTGGAGATTCTTGAACCTTTTGATCCAGAAATTGAGAGAACAATACGAGCATTGAGAAGAAGGCAAACAAGGAATATGACAGACAACAATAATAATCAAGAGGATCCTCTCCTTTTGGAGAATCTTGAAGACGGTGCAGCTCCACGTTCTTTAATAGATTATGCAATGCCGTCATTGAGAGGCATTACTTCTAGCATTAGAAGGCCAGCCATAGCAGCAAATAACTTTGAAATTAAATCTACGATTATTTAGATGATTCAGTCAGCTTGCCAATTCAGTGGTTTAGCCCACGAGGATCCAAATGCTCACATTGGAAATTTCTTGGAGATATGTGATACATTCAAGCATAATGGTGTCACAGACAATGCAATTAGATTGAGACTGTTCCCTTTTTCATTAAGAGATAAAGCCAAGAATTGGCTAAATTATTTGCCTGCAGAATCTATTACAACTTGGGATGCATTGGCTCAGCGCTTTCTAGCTAAATATTTTCCTCCCTCTAAAACTACAAAGATGTGTAATGATATCACTAATTTTATGTAGGTAGATGGAGAGTCGTTATATGAAGCATGGGAGCATTACAAAGAGTTGTTGAGGAAATGTCCGCATCATGGATTACCAATTTGGTTACAGGTAAAAACTTTTTATAATGGTTTAATTCCTGCTAACCGTTCTATGATTGATACAGCTTCAAAAGGCACTATAATGAAGAAGACACCAGAAGCATCATATGAATTATTGGATGAAATGGCTTCAAACAGCTACCAATGGCAGTCTGATAAAGTGCCATAAAGGAATGCAGTAGGATTATATGGAGTGGATGCAATCACAACAATTTCTGCTCAATTGGAAGCATTGAACAAAAAGATTGTAATAACTGCTTCATACTAGGATACGTATAGAAATACATCAAGTAAATATATTTATATTAGCAAAAGTAAATGGGCCCACAATTTTCTTTTAATACATTTAATCATNTTTCTAGCTAAATATTTTCCTCCCTCTAAAACTGCAAGGATGCGTAATGATATCACTAATTTTATGTAGGTATATGGAGAGTCGTTATATGAAGCATGGGAGCATTACAGAGAGTTGTTGAGGAAATGCCCGCATCATGGATTACCAATTTGGTTACAGGTTCAAACTTTTTATAATGGTTTAATTCTGACTAATCGTTCTATGATTGATGCAGCTTCAGAAGGCACTATAATGAAGAAGACACCAGAAGCAGCGTATGAATTATTGGATAAGATGGCTTCAAACAATTACCAATGGCAATATGATAAAGTGCCACAAAGGAAGGCAGCAGGATTATATGGAGTGGATGCAATCACAACAATTTTCGCTCAATTGGAAGCATTGAACAAAAAGATGGATAATATGAGTGCCCCAATCATGCAAGTAAGGAGCATGAGTTGTGATCTATGTGGAGGAGACCATCCTAGCAATGAATGTCAGGTGGGTAACCCATTTGCTAATTTTGCTGAAAGTGCTAATTATGTTGGTAATTTCATAGGCAACAACAGAATAATCCCTACTCCAATACTTACAACCCTATTTGGCGGAATCACCCGAATTTTTCATGGAGCAATCAAAATGCAGTGACACCACCACCTCCGAGTTTTCCTCAAGAAAAGAAACCCATTTTGGAGGAACTAGTGACGAAGTTTGTAAGCTCTAGTGAAACAAGATTTCATAATCAAAACGCTTCAATTAGAAATTTGGAGACTCAGATGGGGCAGTTGGCAAATTTGATATCTAGAGGAGCTCAAAGAACATTCCTAGTGACATAGAGAAAAATCCAATCTTGCCTAGTGACACAGAGAAAAATCCAAAGGAGCATGTGAAGGCAATTACATTAAAAAGTGGCAAGGAAATTAGGCCTAAAGAGCAAGAGAGAGAGGAAGCACCAAAAGTGCAACCAGACAGCATTGCCGAAAAGTTGTTTGAACCTAAGAAGATAGTGATTCAGCCTCCTTTCCCTCTTGCATTGAAGAAGCAGAAAGTTGATCAGCAGTTTGCAAAATTTTTAGATATTTTTAAGAAATTGCACATTAATCTTCCATTTGCAGATGCTTTTCTTCAGATGCCTAGCTATGCAAAGTTCTTGAAGGAGATCCTTTCTAACAAGAGAAAACTGGAAGAGCAAGAGACAGTAAAACTCACTGAAGAATGTTCAGCAATTTTGCAAAATAAATTGCCACCAAAATTAAAAGATCCAGGGAGTTTTACAATACCTTGTATTATTGGTTCACTCTTATTTTCCAAAGCTTTATGTGATTTAGATGCTAGCATTAATCTAATGCCTTTATCTGTTTTTAGGAAATTAGGACTTAGAGAACCAAGGGCCACCACAGTGTCTCTACAGCTGGCTGACATATCAATTAATATCCCAGAGGTATTGTGGAGGACGTGCTTGTCAAGGTAGATAAGTTTATTTTTCCTGTCGATTTTCTTGTGTTGGATATGGAAGAAGATGTTGAGATACCTCTCATTCTAGGACGACCATTTTTAGCCACAGGTAAGGCATTGATTGATGTGCAAAGAGGTGAGTTAATTCTTAGGGTAGGAGATGAAAAAGGAACATTTGATGTTTTTAAAACTATGAAATACCCTTTAGAAGATAACACGTGTTTTAGAATCGATGCTTTTGATCCTTTGGTTCGTGAGTATTTTCAAAATAACAGGTATGAAGATCCATTGGAAGTTTGTTTGGTTGATTCAAAAGAAGATAGAGGGGAGAATAAGCACTTAATTGAGATTGTAGCGAGTTTGGAGGCAAATCCACCTTATAAAACGGTCGTGCGACAAAAATTTGAAACATTGGACAGGCCAATATTGTCTCAAACAAAGCCCTCAACTGAAGAGCCACCAAATCTTGAACTGAAACCCTTACCTACTCATTTAAAATATGTATTTCTTAATGAGTCTTCTTCTTTACCTGTTATTATTTCATCTTCTTTGACAGGTTTGGTGGAAGAGAAATTGTTAAGGGTGTTGAAAGAGCATAAAAGAGCATCTGGCTGGACAATAGCTGACATAAAGGGAATAAGTCCTTCGGTTTGCATGCATAAAATTCTCATGGAAGACAGCTACAAGCCAACAGTTCAGCCTCAGAGGAGACTCAACCCAAGCATGGAAGAAGTGGTAAAGAAAGAGCTGATTAAACTACTCGATGCAGGTATTATCTATCCTATCTCAGATAGTTCATGGGTAAGTCCTATTCAAGTAGTACTGAAAAAAGGAGGTGTGACTGTGGTGAAAAATGAAAATAATGAATTGATACCTACTAGGACAGTCACAGGTTGGAAAGTGTGCATAGATTATAGAAAATTAAATGATGCCACTAGGAATACCACTTCCCTTTACCCTTTATTGATCAGATGTTAGAGCGACTTGCTGGGCATGAGTTTTATTGTTTTCTTGATGGGTACTCTGGGTATAACCAAATAGCTATAGCTCCAAAGGATTAGGAGAAAACCACTCTTGCTTGTCCTTATGGGACATTTGCATATAGAAGGATGCCTTTTGGTTTATGCAATGCATCTACCAATTTTCAAAGAAGCATGATGTCCATTTTTCATGATATGGTAGAGGAATTTTTGGAAATTTTTATGGATGATTTTTCAGTTTTTGGTTCCTCTTTCGATGCATGTTTGAATAATTTGGCTTTAGTTTTGCGAAGATGTGAAGACACTAACCTAGTTTTAAATTGGGAGAAGTGTCATTTTATGGTGCAGGAAGGAATAGTTTTGGGTCATAAAATCTCCCAAAAGGGGATTGAAGTGGATAGTGCAAAGGTGGAAGTGATTGAAAAATTACCCCCACCTACATCAGTGAAGGCCGTGAGGAGTTTCCTCGGACACGTAGGATTTTACAGACGATTTATTAAAGATTTTTCTAAAATTTCATAGCTTCTGTCTAATTTATTAATTAAAGATACTCCTTTTGATTTTAATGCTAAATGTTTGCAGGCCTTCCTCACTCTGAAGGAGAAACTTATCACAGCACCGATTATGGTGGCACCCGATTGGAGTTTGCCATTTGAACTGATGTGTGATGCTAGTGATGTAGCTATTGGTGCTGTCTTCGGTCAGAGACAAAACAAGGTATTCCAAACTATATACTATGCTAGTCGGACCTTAAATGTGACTCAATAGAATTATGCAACCACTGAAAAGGAACTCCTAGCAGTAGTATTTGCATTTGAAAAATTTCAGTCATACATTTTTTTGAGTAAAGTAATTGTCTACACTGACCATTTAGTCTTGAAATATTTACTTGCTAAGAAAGATGCCAAACCTAGGTTAATTAGATGGATTTTATTGTTACAAGAATTTGACCTAGAAATTAAGGATAAGAAGGGTGTAGAGAATGTGGTTGCTGACCATCTATCTAGGATAGAGGACACAAATCCTGAAATAGGAGATGAAATACCTATAAGAGAGGAGTTTCCTGACGAACAATTATTTGCCATTTTAAATGCATATATTCCATGGTATGCATAGTATGCAAATTATATTGTCACATTTGTTCTTCCTTTAAATCTTACTTTTCACCAACGAAATAAATTTTTGTCTGATGTTAAACATTATTTATGGGAAGAACCATATTTGTTCAAAGTTTGTGCAGATTAGAGTATTTGATGATGCGTGCCTGAGGAGGAGATGGAATGGATTCCACATCACTGCCATGACAGAGAGGTAGGTGGCCACTTTGGGCCAACCAAGACAGTTGCAAAGGTACTACAAGCAGGTTTTTACTGGCATACATTGTTTAAGGATGCTTATGCTTATGTAGCGTCTTGTGATAGGTGCCAAAGAACAGGGAATATAGCTAGGAAACATGAGATGCCCTTGAACAATATTATTGAATGTGAATTATTTGATGTTTGGGGGATAGACTTTAAGGGACTTTTTCCTAATTCATTTTCTAATAAATACATCCTTGTGGCAGTCGACTATGTTTCTAAGTGGGTGGAAGCTGAGGCATTTAGAACAAATGATGCTAGGGTGGTTGTTAAATTTTTAAAGAAACATATTTTTACTAGATTTGGCACCTCTAGGGCAATTATTAGTGATGGTGGGACACATTTTTGCAATAAACAATTTGATAATCTTTTGAAAAAATATGGGATCACACATAAGGTTGCCACTCCTTATCACCCACAAACTAGTGGCCAAGTAGAGGTATCTAATAGGGAACTGAAACGAATTTTAGAAAATACCATTATCTCTAGAAAAGATTGGTCTTTGCGACTGGATGATGCATTGTGGGCATATAGAACAGGTTTTAAAACCCCCATTTGTATGTCCCCATATACACTAGTTTTTAGGAAAGCATGCCATCTCCTTGTCGAACTTGAGCATCATGCATATTGGGCTACAAAATTTCTTAATTTTGATATGCAAGCTATAGGTGAAAATAGGTTGCTGCAATTGAATGAGATGGATGAATTTCAGAGTCATGCTTATGAGAATGCGAAGATCTATAAAGAGAGAACAAAAAAATGGCATGACAAGCATATCACAAAAACAGAATTCATTGAAGGGGAAAGGGTTTTGCTCTATAATTCTAGAATCAGACTTTTTCCAGGTAAGTTAAGGTCCAAATGGTCAGGACCTTTCACAGTCACCCAAGTATTTCCTTTTGGCGCCATTGAGATTTCCCATGAGGAGAAAGGCACGTTCAAGGTGAATGGACAACGTCTCAAGCATTATGAAGATGGAGGATGGAAAAAAGATAAGATCTCCATGGCATTGCATGAACCAGAATAATCAAGCATAGAAAGTCAAGCTGATGACTCTAAATTAGAACTAATTTTTTTTTAATTATTTTTGCTTGATTGTGTTTTTATTTTTGTTGTGTTATCGTCGGAACAAGGAACAAGTTTGGGGGAAGCTTACATGCTAGAAGAAGAAGACAATTTTGAGCAGACTAGAACACAGGGAACTATGTGTCACTTTACACAGCCATGGCCATGTTGATAGATAAAAAGGTTGCAGAGTCCAGCCTTCACCACAGGGTACCCCGTGTCACTTTACACAACCGTGGCTTCTAAAAAAAAAAAAAAAAAAAATTTGCAGTAGAAACCTCGGGTTACCCCATGGTATGTCACATGGCCTGGCCCATGTGAGGGACCATGACCACACCAATTAAATCAAAAAAAAAAAAAATGTGCATATACAGTCTTCAAATAAATTAACTATGCTTTTTAGTTTATTTTTGAATGAACTACTCCGCTGTTTTGAGCTGCTATGAGACCCATGTTTACTTTTGCGTCAAACCGTAGCTTGAATTATGAGTATGGAAAGCACTTTATGTGTTGTGACATTGCTGAGTAATCGGGGGCATTCATCAAAAATGTGTGCATTCGTGTAAAAAGGTGATGCGACAATCTAAAGGAGCCTATGAAAAAAAAAGAAAAGAGAGAGAGAGAAATAAGCTGGGGGTTAAGTATAAAGTCTTGGTGAGGCACGACTGGGTTGGGGAAAGATTAGAGTTGCACAATTAGCTGGGTTTTATGTTTGGATGCATGAGAATTATTTAAAGCATGTTTGCCTTCTTCCATTGATTTTGGAAGTGCTGTGAATCCTTGATAATTGATGAATTTATTTTTCTGATATTTTCTTTACTCAGGGACGAGCAAAGGACTAAGTTTGGGGGAGTTGATAAGTTGCATAAATTTAGTGTTTTTAGGTTTGTTTTTATAGGCTTCTAGTTAATTTCTCATTTGTTTTCTGTGTTTTGATATTAGTTTTTATTAAGTTTGAAATATGAATGGTCAGCTATTGATTTGGAGAATTTTTGTAATTTTCAGGCATTAATAGAGTAGATTGGAGCATTGGAATGAAATTGGGATTCAAAGCTTGAAGAAATTGAGATTAGCTGACAAGTTTGAAGGCCATGGCCTTGCCTGGGTGGTTCACCACGGCCATGGTGTTGGAATAAAGATAAAATCTCGAGGACAAGAAGCGCCACGGCCTAGGCTATGGTGACGTACATTTGGACACGGCCAGGGATGTGTCGGACACTTTTAGGGTTTTTTTTTTTTAGTTTTTCTTTCCTTTTTCCCTTAGGACTCTTTTGGGTATTTAAGGGTGATTAAGATTACTCCTTAGGAGGCCGAATTTTACCTATTCTTGAAGAGAGATTATTGTGTAACAAAAGAGAAAGGAGAATCAAGAACAAAATTCATCACAGAGTTTGTTTTTGCTTTTTCAATATGATTTATTTCTTGGATTCTACTCTTGTTTCTTTTATTATGAACTAATTTTCTCGGGCTAAGACTAGGGCTAGTCTATTTATGGATCTGTGATCAATCTTTTACTCTTTGGTCAGTGAATTATTTTTCTAATGATGAGTTTATATTATGTGCTTAATGCTATTAGGAACCTGATCAATTTCTGATATAATTGTTTTGTGTGATTGAGACCGAGAGGAGATATCACATGAGTGCTCTAGTAATATAGGCCATGGGTTAATTGGATATAGAGATATATGAATTGATACAGCAAGGGTCATAGGCAGGATTAACTTGTGTTAAAAGTTAGAGGATTTCATAAAGCTTAATGCTCGTCTATTTCATTAAATCTATATAGAAATATCTAGGTTGTGAGATAGAAGTAGAATTAATATTGCTTGAGAAAGAATATCAATTAACCTAGGAAATCCCATTGTCACATTAATTAAATAAATTCATTGACCATAGTAAATTGAGGGGTGCAGAGAAGTTATAGATGAGCCTGATGTCTTAGCCGTTTTCTCTCATTGAATTCTTAATTTTAGTTTTACTACAATTCGTTTCTAATATTTCAGATTTTAATATTTTTAGTTTTAAAGATCACCATTCTAAGTTTTGATGTAGTGATGTCTTGTTGGAAATGCATCAAATATTCAAGTCTGCAAGTTTGTGTTTTGAAAGCTGTTGACGGTTACATACAACAGTGGTTCAACGTGCATGGGAGTGTTTTTGTAATGAGTTATTGTTTATTAACTTAAGGGTATTTAAGTCATAATTAGTTTATGTAAGTTGATTGTGATATTAGTGGTTAGATTTGAATGTAAAAGCTGAAAAATATATGCTGTAGTTGGTAATTAGCAGAGAGTTATTAACATATATATTTTGAATATCTTTCAATGAAAAAGTAGAAAATTTTTTGCTCAAGTTTTTCGTGCTCTATTCTTCATTTTCTCTTTGAACTCTCCAGCTCAAACCAACAAATGGTATTAGAGCTCCCACAAAAACCAGAAACTTAGATTTTTAAACCATCGATCATACCTCCAAAATACCTTACAGTCTCAAAATGCTAACCTGCATCAGTTCTTCCTCTTCTCTACGACAGACACAAAAAACAGAGACATGGCAACCTAATCTGCATTGATGGCTCCACCGGTATTCAATGGGGAACATTACCACGTTTGGGCTGTGACAATGAAAGCCTTTCTTTGTGGACAGGGACTGTGGCAGTACATGGAAGAAAACAGGCAACTACCTCCTCTTGGACAGAATCCTACGTTGAACCAAATGAGGCTGCATGAGGAAGAAAAAGCCAAAGCACCGAGAGCTCTCTCTCACATACATGCAGCCGTGACTGACCTTGTATTTACAAGGATCATGGCATACGAAAACCCTAAGGAAGTATGGGATAAATTGAGAGAGGAGTACATGGGTAGCACTACAACAAGGAACATGCCGGTGATTAATCTAAGGAGAGAATTTGAGATGCAAAGGATGCAGGAAACTAAAAAAGTAAAGGATTATGTTGATAGATTGATGAATGTTGTCAACAAAATCAGGCTAATGAGAGTGGATCGCAGGGTTGTGGAAAAGGTTTTGGTGAGTCTTCCAGAGAGATTTGAGTCTAAAACCTCTTCTTTAGAGGAATCTAAAGAAATGACTCAGATCACATTGATTGAGCTTGTCCATGCTCTCCAAGCTCAAGAGCAAAAAAGGCTCTTGAGGCAAGAAGACACTAGTGAGGGTGCATTGGTTGCAAGCTTCAAAGGCAACCTGCACAAGCTCAAACAAGGAAGTATGCTGAAGATAGAAAAGGGAAAGAGAAGAGTAATAACCAGTGGGAAAGGCCTGGTGGAGTGAAAGAATTTATGGCCTGTCCTCACTGTAAAAAGAAAGGGCATCCAGAGAGAAGATGCTGGTTCAGGCTTGGTATATAGTGCAGGAGCTGTAAGCAGTTCGGACATATTGAAAAGGTTTACAAGAACAAAGGAAACCAGCCATCACAGCAAGCAAAAGTTGGAGAGGATCAGCAACAATGTCAAGAGGCTGAACAGCTTTTTGTGGCCACCTGTTACACTGCATGGTTAATTGATAGTGGCTGCACCAATCACATGGCTGCAGACCTGTGAAATTTTGTTAGCTTGGACAGATCGTATAGATCCAAAGTCAAGATAGGAAATGGTGAATTCATGGAGGTCCAAGGCTTGGGGGATGTTGCTGTCCAAACTTGGTCAGATACAAAAAATAATTCCTCTTGTGTTGTATGTCCCTAGAATTAGTCAAAATCTATTGAGTGTGGGACAAATGTTAGAGAGGGGTTATTCCTTACACTTTGAAAACCAAGCATGTACCATATTAAATCCTAAAGGGGCTGAATTGATGAGTGTAAAGATGCTAGGGAAAAGCTTCTTGGTTGAGTGGAAACACACCAATGACTATGCCTTGTCAACTAGGCTAGAAAAGTCAGAAACATGGCACAAAAGACTTGGCCATTATCACTATAATGGCCTCAAAGAGTTGAAGAATGCAAACATGGTTCATGACCTACCAGAAATTGAGGAGAAAAGTACTTTGTGCAGTGCATGCCAGATTAGCAAATTGAGCAGACCTGTATTTCCTTCGGATCAGACCTGGAGAGCATCAATGAAGCTTCAACTGATTCATTCAGACGTGTGTGGTCCTATGCAAACAGAATCTTTAGGTGGTAGCAGGTATTTCATAATCTTTGTAGATGATTATACATGGATGACATGGGTGTACTTTTTACAGCAGAAAAGTGAGGTCCCTATAGTGTTTAGAAAGTTTAAATTGTTGGTTGAAAATGGGGCTGGAACAAAGATAAAATCCTTTAGAAGTGACAATGGAACTGAGTACACTTCAAAAGAATTCAGTTCACTTTGTTCAGAAGCCGGTATTAGACATCAATTCACTACTCCATACACTCCACAGCATAATGGAGTAAGTGAGAGAAGAAACAGGACCATCATGGAGATGGCTAGATGTATGTTGGCTGAGAAATAACTCCCTAAGAGATTCTAGGCTGAGGCTGTAAGTACAGGAGTTTATCTCCTGAATAAGCTGCCAACCAAAGTAGTTAAGGGGCAAACACCAATTGAGGCATGGATAGGAATTAAACCAGTAGTTGGCTAATTGAGACTGTTTGGAAGTGTGTGCTATGTGATGGTTCCAGCAGTGAAGAGAACCAAGCTGGATAACAAGGCTGAAGTTGGTATTTTCATTGGTTATAGCAACCAATCAAAAGGATCCAGAGTGTACATTCTGGAAACAAAAAGAGTTGTGATAACTAGAGATGTGAGAATAGATGAAAATGCAATGTGGAATTGGGAGAGTAACCAGATTGAGGCTGACTGGAAAATGCGACAGCCGATTGAAAATATGTTTGAAGAAGATGAAACTGAAGCAGATGAGGAACCAGCAGTTCGTGGAACCAGCAGTTCGTGGAACCAAGACCTTGGCTGATGTTTATGCAAGGTGCAATGTGGCTGCGCTAGAACCTAGAACATATGCTGAAGCTGC